TATATATTCAAGAGAAGGCAGACATCTCTGTGACTAATATCTCCGACACTTTGCAACTCACCCCAAAGCTAGACTGATAAATAGCACTACAGGTAAGAGGAAATATATGTATTTTTGGGTGAACTCTCCCTTTAAGAATTTCTCTGCACTATAAATATGGATGACTATAAAAGCGACAATCAACATTAAAGATCGTAAAAACAGCTTTTTAGTTAAACACTCTAAAACTGATGATGACGCTGATCTGCTTCATCGGGACTGTGTACATGACGTTCGATCAGGTTTGACTGACCTCTAGTGACCTGGCAAAATAAGCCACCAACTTTATTAACATAATCATATTTTCGGATTCTGGTTAAGTGTGAGGAAGTAGGTGACATCACTTTTTCTCAACTGCCCCATCAACTTCCATCCAGTGAAAACAAAACAACACAAAAACCCCAGAACCTCTGTTCCAACCTTGTCTTACTATGAGCAATGACTGTCCTACATGAACACACTACTTCCTGCCAGCAGCAAGAGTGCAGAACAGTAAAGTACATACAACTTGGATTATTTATATCTCATACCTCACACTTGAGGCACATTAAGGGTTGAACATGGGTGCATAACCACAGAATATACAGCAATAATTTTGTTATTGCACTTATCTAGTCTTGGTCTTACCGTCATTATGCGGTCATTGATGACACGGCACATCTCAATGTCCTCCAGGTCACTGTTCTGGATGTCTGACGCCAGCTGGCGAGAGGCACGGCTGTAGGAGCCGGAGGCCGACATCAACCACTGCATTGTCAGAGCCTTGGGCAGCAGCTGGGGCTGCATCTGGAAGCACATGGAGCATCCACAGGGGATATTTAGTACTCTGAATAAACAAAACTAAATGGATGTGCGTCTGGGCACGTTGGGGTTACATAATCAAAGCAGCAATTAAAGGAGTACTTCACCCACCAAATGATGATTGGTATATCAATTATTGACCACGCGTTATGTTGATTTTCGAACAAAAAATGTTTTTCTCACATGCCTCCACAGTGAACGAAGGATCCAAAAACTGAAAATTCTTGATTAAATGGAACTAAAGAGGGGCTGCATTTCAGAACAGCAACACTATATAAAACAAATCAGCTTACAAACTCTCACAAAACTCGTGCCGTATAATTTCCTCTTCTCTCGCACTCCATGCAGAGTCGGTGTCGTCAAGTGATTTCTATTAATAATGTATACAGAATCTGAGTTACTGTTGTTGTTTACAAGCTAAAGAAATTAGATCATCTTTGTTTAGTTTTTACTGAATATTTGAAGCAAACTGTAAAACTATATCACTTATTTTGTTGAAATTCTTTTTTTTTTTTTTTTACTAATTTGTCATATTGTTAAGAATATTGTTATCGCAAGAATACCCTGAAATATCGTGATATTATTTTAGGGCCATATTGCCCACCCTTAGTTTTGATATAGTTTTGCTGTTGTTAAACACGGTCTCCTTTTATTTAAAGTCATCAAAAATTTTCCCCATTTTTTGGATTCTTTGCTCACTGTGGAGGCAAACAATGTTCTTTATGAATTCAACACAACAGACGGTGAGTAATTTATATACAAATCATATTCAGGGGGTGAAGTATTCCTTTAAGACAAAAAACAGCAACAAAATCAATTAAAATGCATCAAAACAGTTAAACTGTTTCCTTTACAAAGCCTGTATTTAAAATGGTGAGTTAAATATACCAAGTTTACTGTTTAACTATCTCTATGCAGACAGACACGGCATGCACATGCTGAGTCTTTGAGGTAACGACGATAACAATCAACTGTTGGGAAAATTTAATCCAAGTCAGCAAGAAAACAACGGGACACTCACCCTCTGAACAGCCTTGACCTTCCCGTTGATCTGAGCCACGTGAGTACGTATGATCTTGTCGTACTTCATCAGGTCCATCCGCAGCAGATGATCATGGACCAGCCTGAGCACCATGTGACCTGCGAACTGGGTCGATGTTTTAGCCAGCTGAGGAACCTGGTTGCCCGTAGCTATGTTCAGTCTGTCCCGGGTGTCCAGCTTTGTGCCAAAGAACTGGTAGTCCTGAGAGGGACAAGGAAGATGTGTTGAGAGTTATAGTGAGGAAAAATAAATTCCAAGATGAACCAAACGGCTCAGTGTTCAAGGATGTCCATGACTAAGGGGATTGACTTAAAAGGATTTATTTTAAGAGTAATTTCAACATTTTCAACCTGGACTGTGTTTTCCCATGTTTTTGTGTCTAAGGCGATTTCATGGCTGTTTCTGGTTAAACAAAATGCATCTCAGTCTCTAACAAAAAAATCTATCTCTGTAGGGATCCTTTCCATAATGTTATCAGACACTTAGAATAACAATCTGAGCCCGTCAGTGGCATAAACAAACACTTTTTGCAGCCTGTTTTTGAAGCTCTTTCGCTCAGTACTGGACAAGTTTCAAAGAAACCTTGTCTTCGTTAGTCACTTAGACACAAAAACACAGGAAAAGGGTCCAAGTTGAAAAATACCAAAGTTATTTTTTAAATAATAGTAGTAAAAGAGGATGACTTACTGAGTTACCAGCGGTGAAACCAAAAGAGACTGAGGGAATGCCAGTAAAGGCAAGGAAAGGATAGGCAGCACTATCCAACTTCAGAGGCTCCAACCTGTAAAATAAAGGCATGCAAGATGAAGCTTTCGCTGCCCTTTCTCCCAGCATAGGTAAATATTTGGATTAAGAAGATTAGGTTGCGAACATTTGCCAAGCATGTGAATGACAGCTATTCTACACATTCCAGCTGTGGATGTAATACTAGTGCGAACAGCTTGGATGTCATGGTGATGTATAAACACTGTGGACGTGACTGGACCAACAGCCTGGTCAGACTTACACATTTGATTCCCAGTTTCCCCTTGCATATTGAGAAGAGAGAGTCCCTGTCTTGGTCTTCACCTAAGGAGAAGACAATTATATGTATTTAATATTCACAAATAAATTGATAATAGTGCTGGCTTGTATTAAATGTGCTTCATTAATACAGATGTGGCCTTACCTCAGTCAGAGTGCTCTCGATCAGGCTGTGCATCAAAGGACTGGCCGCCACTTTAAATCCTTTCTGACCTGGAAAGGAAGACTTATAATCAGTCTTTCTGAAAACCACACAAATACATACATACATACATACATACATACAGACATATTGAAGGAAGTGTAGTCGCTTTACTGGAATTTCTTACTTTGATACAGTGCCACTAACAGGATAAGCGATTACCGAAATATTACTCAATGAAAGATTGAATAATGTTCCGATAAATTCATATTTTTGATTTGACAAAATGTTGGTATAGTAGGCTGTTAAATATTTAAAAGCCTTAAGAATAAGAAGAAGAAGAAGAAGAAGAAGAAGAAGAAGAAGAAGAAGAAGAAAATACCTGTTACAACTCCATCCAGATCGATGTAGGCGAATGCTTTCATGCTCAGAGAGGAAAGATAACCCTGGATATATAGAAAAAAATAAATAAATGCATTAACAGAATTAAGGAGGAGTACTAACACTTATCAGAACTATTATTGCAAAAAAAAGATGCTGATTCTCACCTCCAGCCACTCGGTGGCACCAACACTCCCATATTCTCCAGCACTCCAGCTCGCAAACACAATGCTTCTCCGCGGTTTGAATCCGTCTGAAAAGGAGATAAGATATGCACGTTAACAGAAGAGCAGAGCCCTCACTAAACAGGACATGCTCATTTTGATTAAATATTTCTTCAGTTGCTCAGTGACTCATGTTGATATGATCTCAAGTGATCCATCAGTAATATCTCAAAATCTAGCACTGTCTGACATTACACACTAAACACCAGCTGCCACTGAGACTCACCATTCTTCACCATATCTGAGATGGAACGTGCCAGTTCAACGAGGACGCTGGTGCCAACTGTCGATGTGGCAAAACCTGGACCCCATGCGTCCCTCTGGGCGCCAATAACAACATATCGATCTACAAAAACCAGACAGGGTACATTCATCATTCAAACTGTTTATTTAACAACCGAGAGAAAACGATCGGTAAACTGAAAATGAATAGCTCGTTGTACCTGCATCCACAAAGCCTTTGATGACCCCAAAGACGTTGTTTATCTTTTTCTCAGTGAGGACGTTCCTGACTTCCACGGTGATAACATCGCTCAAGTCTCCCAGTTTGTTGAGACCGCCCCACCCATCCGGCACATTCTGACCCCCCAGCTGCCTGGGGGATGCAGACAGTAAAAATGAATGCTATGTAAGATCCTGCAGTCAACTGTAGCAGATAATCAGAGTACATACATACATTGTTTTAAATGGTACACAGTGCATATGAATCATACCTCAGAATATTGGTGGCCATGCCTGCTGTGATGGTCTGGGCCAAGATTTTCGGAAGACCTGAAGACTGGACAGGTGGAAACTGGGTGTGGTTGAAGGAGGGGAAGCCTGGGGTGTAGGGATCACCTGAACCCATGTGGACCTGCGGGAAACAGAAAGAAGATAGTTATTTGAAAAACATAGAAGTTTTACCAAGTTTGCCAACAGCTATGATTTGACTGTGACATTTTTAATGCTTTCGTGCATACTTCTAAATTTAAAATTAGGAAAATTACATGAAAACTAGAATTACTGCCTCGCAGTTGTTTGCCTCCGCGAACCTGTTAAGTTGCAGTTACAGTTTGCATCTATGTCTGTGAATTGGATGGTTCACACACACATCTTCCCTCCCGACAGTACAGCAATCTATACTATCAGCTCAGTTTCAGAAATTTGACATAATTAGCCTGTGAATTATTGAGTTAGGGCCAAAAACATATTTTGTGAGGTCACAATGATCTTTGACCACCAAATTCTATTCACTTCATTGGAGTCCAAGTGGATGTTTGTGCCGAAATAGAAGTAATTCCCTCAAAGTGTTCTTGAGATATCACGTTCACTAGAATGAGAATGATGCAAGGTCACAGTGGCTTTGACATGTGACCATTGACTACCAAAATCTAATCAGATCATCCTAAACTCAAAGCAGACAAAAAGTTACCTTTGACCACCAAATTCTATTCACTTCATTCTTGAGTACAAGTGGAAGTTTGTGCCAAATTTGGAGAAACTCTTAAGGTGTTCTTGAGATAGTGTTCACAAGAATTAGAATGATGCAAGGCCACAGTAGCCTTGACATTGGACCTTTGACCACCAAACTCTAATCACATCATCCTTGACCAAAAGCGTACGTTTGTGCTAAATTTGATGGTCAGAGACGATGCGTTTATGAGAATGAAACACAGTGACCTTTGATCACCACAATCTGATCGGTTCATTGTTGAGCCCAAGTGGATGTTTGTGCCAAAGGTATTCTTGAGATATCGCGTTCATGAGAATGGAACACACAGACAGATAATCCCCCCGGGGATTAATAAAGTATTCTGTTCATTGACAAAAAACAAATTACTCCCATTAGAAATAATCCTGTTCAAGTACTAGTTTTAAGGCTTTGGCTCCCCCCATCTGGCTTATTATTAAGTGGCTGGCTTGTACTTGTGACAAATGTTTATTTTTAGAAAAGTACTGTGTCAAGTTTTCAGGTTAAAAAAAAAAAACAAAAAAAAAAAACTATTACCATGGCTCCAAAAACAGATTTAAAACTGATGGACTGATAAAACTGATGCATTTCACCTTCACCAGATTTTAAGTTGCTCCAAGGTAACCAAGATAACTTTTAACCAAATTTAAAACTGATTTTTAGACAAATCACTTTATTCCTATTAAAACACTGCAGGTAAGTATGAAAGTGAGTAGTATATGTGGTCCTGCGTAGAGGCAGGTTTTATGTAGGAATATGGTTATTAGAGTGAGTAAGGTTATGCCACATTTGACCAAAACGTTTGTACAAGTATTAAGTAATAAGACAGTATTAGGTTCAGTGATTTTGACAAAAAGTAATTAAAAGATGGATAAATTAAATTAGACAAAATGTTTATGGCAATTAAACTCAGAAATTCAATTAATTTACGAACATTTATTGACCTTTAAGGCCTAAAAACTGACATTCTGAGTTTTTAAGGACCTGCAGACACCCTCTTGATGTTTTAAGTGGAGCACTTTGCCTTGCTGCTGAAACGTGCTACATAAATAAACTGTCCTTGGCGTGCTGGAACCTGTTTTCTCTCATGGACAGTTTTGCTTACATTCAGTGGTCAGTGTATGAACTGTCCTTGAGTCCAAACAAGCATGTCAAATACATTTTCTTCCTCACAAAACATTGGCAAAGCTTATCTTTTTTAATACTTGCAAACCTACATTGTAAACTTCCATGTTTACAACGACAAGTCATCCCTTCTTCCCTGCTTTTTGCTCACTACAATTCTACGCAAATGACCACCACCACTAATGGACTAATGTGGAACCATTAGCAGTTTCATCCCGTGCTTGGTTTTGAATGGACTTCCTTTCAGTCAGAAGAAAAAGCCATCTCATATTACCACAGTACACGTTTCATAACCACTTAACCTTAGATATCCCGCATGTCCCAACTAATAAAGGCAGAACTGGTTCCAGGTGCTACACGCCTTTACCTTTCTTTACCTGGAATGAACTGCCCTCAAACTTGAGTCTCATGTTCCACTAGGTGATTTTAAAGTTTAAGTCTCCAATGTTGATTTTTATTTGTAGTACTGAAACTGTTATTGTAGCTGTGTTGTTTCTGTTTTGCTGATTATGTTCTTAAGTTGTTTTTTTGTTCTGAGGTCTTAACCTCAATGTGACTGCCCACACTCACATGTCCAAAAAGCGGAGTGTTGTCTCCGATAGGGTAATCCTCGGGGTCTGGGTAGATCAAAACAGCAGAGGCACCCATTTTGGCAGCATTGGCCACCTGAAAATAGAAAGAAAAACAGGTCATGGAAATTACTATTATCAATGACAGCAAAAGAATTTGGACAAAAATCACACACTGATGAAGGGAAAAAGAAGTAGTTTACAGTGATATTAAAAGGTCATACTACACGCGATCACATCACTCCAGTTTTAGCCTCTTAAAGCGGAATTTATACTTTTGTGACAGACCCTACACTGTAGCCTATGGCATCACCTTCTCTGTTGTGAGCATTTATACTTGTGTGGTGGTGTGTCTGTGTCACTCTGCAGTTACACCATCAAAACACTAGTCGGCAGTAGGCTTTCTATGAAGTGCTGTTAAGTTCACAAATCAGCTTCACTATAACTCACAGCATTCACAGACAAAGCATTTGTCTTTTGTTGGACACATTTTCCCCACAAACACAACATGCTAATGTTATTAGCACAAGCCTATCGCATTTTACATTGTATAAATTAGCCTAGCAGCTAGCGGAGATTTCCCCTACTCATATGAGCTTCATTTCCATGGAGGGAAACGGTTTTAGCTAGCTTTTAAGAGGAGGTCTGCTACGCTGCAACGTGTAGTTACATTCTGGAGAGGTGCATGTCAGGCTATGGCATAGGCTCTACATCGATGCAGAGCCTATGCCATAGCTACGGCATCGATTCAACACATAAGTATAAATTCCAACTTACACTGGCACCCAGTATGTTTCAGAATAGATTTTACTGATTACTTTTAAGACTCTTCATGGTCTCTCTCAGTTATATCTCTGACCTCTTACTGTGTGCCGTACACACTAGGACATACTTTGAGGTCCTGCGGCAGCTGTCTTTTGTCTGTTCCAGAGGCCCAGCTGAAAACTAAAGGGGATAGAGCGTTTGCCGTCACGGCCCCGAGGCTCTGAAGCAGTCTGCCTGAGGAAATCAGGTCGGTCGAGTCAGCGATCTCTTTTAAGTCCCTTCTAAAAACACACTTTATTGGAGATTTTACCTTTTTCAAGGTTTTCAAGTTCATTTAAACTGTCTTTTATTTTTCACAGTTTTTATACACTAAAGTGTTTTTATCAGTTCTTTTAAAAGTGCTTGATAAAGAAAGATTATTAGAATTATTACTATATATTATTTTTACCAAAACCACTCACCTTCTCGGCAAAGCTGATCCGACCAGCTCTGACCAGCAGCACCCTGCCAGTCAGGTTAATGCTCTTGTCCCGCAGCAACTTCAAGTCATTTTCCTGCCCGTAAAATCCATACAAGACAGCACCCTGGAGCAAATACAAATACATTTACTGCCTTTTTCTCCGCTTAATTTTCAAAAACCTTCTCTACTTCATTCAGCTCATAGATTACCGTTACTACTCCGTTGGCACTGTAGGACAGGAATCCCTCTGGGCGCTCATCGCTCCCATTCTTGAAACTAAATCTGTTGGAGCCAGTAGCTGGGGGGTCCTGAACCTTAACAAAGTGCTCATCGGTCCAGGTCATCATGCCGTACTCTTTAAACTTCTTGACCACCTTGTTCGCCAGAAACTCGTCACCCGAAGAACCAGCCCGGTGTTCGTTAAGGGACAACTCACTAGGATTGGTAGAAACAAGAGCTCACGTTTAAAATTGTAAGACAAGTAAAGACATTTTGCCTCAATGCAGCGTGGGATTCATATTTACTTGAAGACAGATTCAAATTTGTCTGCAGAGACTTTCTGAGCGAGGAGGTTTTTGACATCGTCCCAGTCCATCAGGGCGGCAGCACCTGTCTCATGGGGAATGGGCCCCTTGACACGGACCATGGAGGCTGAGCAGATAGGAGCTGCATCCTTCTTCCGATGAACCAGGTAGCCAATCAAGTACCCTGTAAGTGGCATAGGTTTTAAATGAGGAACCAGGGAACGAGAGAGCACACAGACAGAAAGGACAGTACACATCCAAGGGCAGACTAAAGGCATCAAGTTACAAGTCTAAAGGGCACAGTCAGCATTTTGAAATGCTATACCACCAGCTGACTACAACAGCACTGTACAATATGTACAACTGAAACCGCCCAAGAACGTTCCTACATACACACCCAGTAAATTACATTTCATTGAATCAACTGCTCAGTATAAAAGCTTACCTCAGTCTCTCTGTGTTGCTCAGAGAGACATGGTCACACTTACACTACAGATTTTAGATAAGGAGCAGACACTCTTTCTGAGACTTAGAACATTAACTAATTACGTTTTTTCCTGGTTTCAGTGTAAAAAGAGTTATATCTAAAATATAGTTTAAAGCGCAAAGCTGTGTGTCATCAATAAGGGCGAAGGCATCCGGCGTTTCCTGGTGACACCATCAATATATATTGAAAGTAGTGGCCCTAAGATTGATCCTTGAGGAACACCAAGTCATTTTAGAGTGATGCAAACTTAATGACAGTGACAGTCTCTCCCATGTTATGGCTTGTCTCAATGAGTCCAAATCTGAGGTCCTTGTTTTTGGACCACCAACCCGACCTAACCAAGGTTGTGCAATCATGCTGTCATCAAATTAGAAACACTGCAAAAGTAAAACTTTTTTTTTTAATCTCAAGCAGACCTTGACCTTGTTTCTATCCTTCTTTTATTAATTTTATTATTAATATATTTTTATTACACACTCTGATTTATCTAGTCTTAGCCTATGTTCAATGTTTTTATTGCTGTTTTTATCTTAATGGTGTACACTGTTTTATTTGTCTCATAAAGCACTTTGTAACTGTGTTCTGAAAAGTATTATTATAATTATTAATAATACCATAAATGCAGCATCTTCATTAATGACCCCCTCTTACCGATGATAAAGATGAGGAGGATGGCTGCTGCCATGAAGCAGAGGTTCTTCGGTGTGCGTCCAAGCTTTTGAGCCACGTAAGGTTTGCGGGTGGAGTTGTGATTGAGGTGCTCTCCCACGCCATTTCCTCCAACCTCTTCGTCCACGTCGGACGCCAGCTTCATCTCCACCTGGCTGTTATCGCCTTCCATGTTCTGGGTCAGGTTGAAACGGGTGTAGGAGTGGGGCTCCCCGTTAAACTGTAATGACAGACCGATGCAGGTATGAGGAGAAAATAAAGTTTATAATTTAGCTAAGAACGTATATTTTTTGAAGATGGAACCTTTGATTGCAAGATATTCAGCTGGAATCTCTGACCATTAGGAATTTGCATAAAGTGTTTTTGTAAAGTTATGACTCGATTGATGTATAATGAATGAATGAATGAATGAATGTATAAAGGATCATCCTTGTATGTTCCAACATCAGCACTCAAGTCTTTAGTACCACTTTCTGATGAACCCTTCTTTAAATAAATGGGTATAAAAGCTTGTAGCTAATGACTTAAAGCTGCAGTAGGCAGATTTCCAGAAAAGGCAAAAACAAAAACCACTAAAATTTGAGGATAGACCCCCAGAGCTGGGGTTTACGATGGCTGAATTTAGGTTGCTGTGGCCGCTAACTAGGCATCTGTCTCTAGAGCTGCTGCCTGTTGTCCTACCGGCGACATAGTCTGTAGCAGCAGAGAATTAGGTGGAGGACACACTACTTTGGTCAGTGATGAAGACCAATTTTTGGGCTACCAGGTCACAGCAACTAGAGTTAATTGTTATTTATAAAGTAAAAAACAGTAAAATACTAAAACAAAAAGAACCAAAAGAGCTCAGTTTCTGTTTTGACTCACTTTTGTGATCACCCACTCTTTCTAGCTGTTTTTTATTCTCTGTCTTTTCACAAAGTATGGTAATTAACTAATCCCTCAGTGGCGTTCACTATTTTGATCACTGTTTCACTATTTTGATCAGAATGTCTTGCACTCGAACAGGCTACGGTTTCTGACAAACCACAGAAAGGCTTTTGGGCCTAAGAACATGGCAGATAATCCTCAAAGCACAACTTCATCACGTGCCAATAATCAAAAACAGAGATATAGAATGTCAAACAAATGGATAACAAAATTAACTTACATCAGTTGCTTTCTGAGGGCTCTTAAAGAAGGATGGTAGATGACTAAGTATGAGCACCACGTAGCAGACCTTCTACCTTGATCCGTCAAAGGGGAAATGGGAACTACACTCTGTTTTTGTTATAGTCTCCGTGTCTACTTCTTATTTCAATGTATATGTAATTTCAAAAATATTGTAACAAACCAACACAAACAGCTTGTGCTGGGTAAATGCAAATGTAAAAGTAAATAAATAAAAATATACATTTAAATGGTGAATAATGTTTATTTTGCCATTTGTCTGACAGGAAGTAGTTCACCACTGACAGGAAGTAGTTCACCATTGGTCAAACCAGGACTACGTGATGTTCATTTTCAGTCTCCTTACTTTCTGTGACAGTTGTCAAAATCTCAGGGATTATTTATTTTATTTATATTATAGAATTTTTTTTGCTGTATTTATTTTTGTTGTTATTTTGTTGTTGTTGTTGTTGTTGTAGTAATGTATTCACCATTTTGTGCCAGGGAAATAAAGATATCTTCTTCTTCAAAAAGCTTCAAATGTGCATAAATTTAATTATACAAATTTATGAAACATTTGAAATAACCTTCAGGCTTTAAAAGCCTTTACTACATTTAATGTATCATATCCCCTCTCTAAAGTTTGATATTGCTGTGAAAACAAATTTCTCCTTCAAACAACTATTTATTCAAGGTTTTGGCCAAAAAACAAAATTTACAAGATTACATTTGAACACATTATGTTATAATTTACCTTTGCTTAATATTTTTTATTGAATAGAGCTTAAAGCATCAATCCAGTGCAACCTCAGTTTGCAGCTCGCATTAACTAGCTCTCCCGCCAATTTCAACAAGGATTTGTTGTTCCCTTTTTAGCATTATCAGGGAAACAAAAGGGCACATCATCTGACATGTCCATAGTGAGTTCACAGCGTTCTTTCGTCCTGAAGACGTCCCCCGGAAGATCTGTCGCCCCAACGCGTTTTCTATGGTCCCTGGGGAGACGGGATGCTGTTAAACTCAAGCCCTGCTTTTGAGCCTGAGCAAAACTGATTTGACACAACAGAAAAACATCGGCCACTGCCATCGGTGAAGATCATTTTAACTGCCAACAGGCCGATGGTAGCCAACAAGGCAAATACAAGCCAATGGGACAATCATGAAATGGTTCTATTCTGCTTTTACTGAGTCAGTTCGTTCTTTTAACATCGTCTGTTGGTTTGGTCATCTGAGCCTTGAAACAAGAACAAGTTGGAAAAAGTGATCAAGTTGTTCTGTAAGATCACCGGTGTTGCTTTGAATAACCTACAGCGTCTGTATGAAGAGAGGGTCACCTCTAAAGCTCGGTCTCTTGCCTCAGACTCTCAACAACCCCTCCATGTTGAGTTTCAGATCTATCCATCAGGGCGGAGGGTTTGCCTCCCTAAATGCAGCACTAAGCGTTACAGATCGTCCTTTGTCCCGTCTGCTATCGCTCATCTTAACCAACAGTGACACTAATTGTCCATGATTTACCCCTGACATTTAAGTTTTACCTTACCTTACCTTAATGCAGATGTTCGGCTGATAACTCAGTGCATCTCTATTTAATGATGCATGATACTTAACTATTGCAGATTTTTTTTTAGTTCATATTGGCACATGGTTGTTTTTCAAGAGCAAAAAAAAAGAAACAAAAACATTTTATAAAATACAACTCATTTAAAAGTGGTATTTTATGACCCTTGTAGTGATTAGAAAAATACTCTCATCACTAACTCAACAGGAATTTACAGCACTTAATATGCAACTTAACTGCAGTAAAAAAAATTTCAAGTCACTTTGCCTAATAATCATTCAGCATGCTGTTGATAAGTCATAATTATTTGTTCACAAGATGGAAAAAATATTCAATAATGCAACACGGGCAGTTACAATAATACTAATTTCATTAGTGGTGGTAAGGAGAATTCTTTGGAGCAAAGCTTGTTATTTTCGGATTTAGGATGTTATACTCACAATTTTGGATATCGTTGACCTTGCCTGGTCCATTGCTGCTTCAATCTAAAAAGGGAAACAAACAGGAGAAGTCTGTTAATAAATCATCTCACCTAGAGACAGAATGATTGTCGTCGTCTTTTTAAAAATGTCACTCCACCTTGAGTATTAAACACTCATCCCCTGCAGACTTGATGGCTATAAATAAAATGTCTCCTTTCCACAGCCCTTTTTCCGATGAGTGTTTCAGCCTCACATGGCAGATTTTAGGTGGAATTTTGTGGAGTGTGGTCTTATTTCAGTACAGTGTGTTACTGTCTCACTTCTAGGAATAATGGGGTGTCCACAGAACACGTCCCACCTCTTGTCCAAACATCCATGGGGTTTCCTCTGCTGCTAACTTGAAAGGCAGCACTCTTCCTGGGCACAAAAGACCAGTGTCCAGCACAGGTCAACACAGACTCGGTGCCTCCGTGTGAACTCTTTTGCCAGAAGAGTACAATAACAGAATAACTAGCTTCCCACTAGCTTCGATTCGAAAGAGGAGCCAAACAAAGCAGGGTTTCAAATTAACAGGGGAACAAGACCCGAAATACAAGTCTTTTGTATATATTTTTTTTTTTTAAGTATTTTCATATACTATCAGTGGAATAAGAGCTATGTATGTGATCGCCCTCAGAAGAGATGCCCGTTATGTAAGGTGCTTCAGCTATGGATGGTCAGATAGGTCAAATCCTGCATCTCTTAACACAGAGTTTCTCAAACTTTAGTGTATGATAAGGGTGGGAATCACCAGAGGCCACACAATAAGATATTATCACAATACTCAACTCATGATACAACATTATTGCGATTTTAAACATGTTGAGATGCTGATTAGTGCGATAAAATATATTGCAATTTATTACCTTTTTTCAACTGCAGATTATGTCCCCAAAGGAAAACTTTGTCAACGTCTGTTTTAGCCAATAAGATAGTTTTCAGGCTGTCCGTGTCACTTGAGTCATTTTTATCACAGCAAACTGAATCTAGTGGACTGAAAAAGCAGCAGCAAATCAAAAGTGTAATTTGTATTTCTAATATTCATAATTTATACAATCATTTAAAAAAAAACTGCACTGCCATCGGCCACCTTCAGCGATGAGGGTGTTGGAAAAACACTTAAAAAAAAAAAAAAAAAAATGACATGAAACTGCTTTATTCATCAGTCTTACTGGTTTAAATCACCTGGGTTCTCATTATAAAACAATGCGCAGGATCCTTACTAAATATGTGCGCATGGACAAAACCTTAAAATGGCGTGCACCAAAAAATATTCAATTTCTTCAGTCATGTTTCCACCTCACCATCTGTGTCGCCAATTTCCTGTCTCCATAATGTTTGGAAAAGTTGTGATCTATAAAAACAGACTGATGGGAGAAACATTGACCCATGCTTAGACAGGAAATGGCGTACGCCTCTCTCAGGCCTCGTTTTGTGCGTACGCAAAGAAAGATGGTAAATGGGCCTGCCTTTCTAGTCATCCGACCACTCAAAGCACATTTTACAGTACGAGTCATATTCACCCGTTCACACACATTCATACTACCACACAAGGTGCCACCTGCTACTCAGTTTTTGGCATACTTTCTTTTATAGATGGAACAGCCATCAGGAGCAATTTGGGCTTCAGTATTGCTCAAGGATACTTCGGCATGCCTGGAGGTGCCGGGGATTGAACCACTGATGTTCCAAATTGTGGACAACCCCTTCTACCTCTGAGCTACAGCCGCCTCCAAAGACTGCACTGGATAATGCAGCTCCCGGTAAAAATCTCCTTAACAATAAACACTGAAGGAATCCTAACTAGGAGAAGTTTCAGCTGGTTACAATCTGCACATGACACTGCATTTACTACAAAACAAGTGTTTGACAATGTCTAATCATAAACCAAATTTGCTTTCATACCTCATTCTTCTCTGCACATTTCTTCAGATTACACCCGTATCAGAAGAATCATCATTTCTGTTACAAATGCAGATTAAGGAGCGAGACAAATGATGCTACAGTATACAATTTCTGACCACTCAGTGAGATTTCTATTGATTCACTGATATCTGACACTGCACAGTCACTTCATGCCCTTCTGTAGCTGTGGTCCTTTTGAGTCACAATAGTAACCATCCAACTGACAACACGACCTGAGCCACAATATAAGCAAATACCTACAGTAACCAAATAAAAAGTCATTATTATTATTATTATTATTATTATTATTATTATTATTATTATTAGTATAACTTCAAAAAGGTGACACAGGTCAGTAACGTCAGTGAGATACACAGAATTTAGCTGTGGCTTGGTAGAAGACACTGTATGCAACTACAGTAGTCAACAAGTCTAAACAAGGCTCATCACACCCATAAACATCCCTTGTGATAAGGTTCACAGGATAACAGCACATGTAGCAACACATGCACTGAGATAATTAAATTGATTTCATAATAACAGTCAAAGGTGTGAGAAAAGGAAGAGTAAACATGTTCAGGCTTGGCATACTAAAGAAGCTTCACTGGAAACATACTTGTTGAGTGACAGGTCTGAGGTCTTTGTGCCCTTTTGGGTACTTACCCAACGAACAACACAAACGCTGCACAACAATCACAGTGGCATCACTTCCTCGTTCACCATAAAAACACAAAGTTGGGGTTTTATAATGTGGCCCATACAACAAGGGATGCAGACAATAGAAGCAGGGCAAAGTTACACCATGTTTCTATGACAATACACACGGACAACAATGCAAATGTTGAAAACACACATGGGGTTAGAGGAAGGCCGTCTGATAGTTAACACGGAAACATTACAGACAACAAAAGGCCACGTAACCAGGTTAGAAAACCGTGACCTTTTGTTTCCATCTCTCTGGCTACACAGGGCTCTTTTTAAAACTCCTTTAAAAAAGTATTTTTAAATACACATTGGAGAGAGGAAACCAGTGTCAACTGCACAACAACTTTATTTTCTAGGTCCAGGGATCCTTTTCACCAGAACAAGACCTCCACGTTCAATACATATGCAAGATACCTCAGTAGGTGACATGTCCAGGGTTCCCACAACAAGATTTCAAAACTGTTCCATGACTTTTAATAAAGCTAGATTTAAAATTCTGTTGGAGCAGCACATTTGATGAAGACTTAGATTATCCATAAAACAGACAAAAGCATAGCTGTCAAAGCATAATCAATTGATAAAGGTAAGTGACTGTGTCATGTGTCTCAGGATGTGATGGGTCTGTCTTTGTTTGTAGTGCAGGGACATTTAGCTAGTGATGGTTTCTGTCAGTATGCTAATCTAATTTTCATGTATTACATACGAGACTACAAGAAAAGCTGACCTATATAATATGATTCGTACACTGTAATGAACTTCATGCATGGTAAAAATTGTTTTTCCTGGGAACTATTTATTTTAATGCAAACATAATGTGTGTCTTATTTAATTATTTGGTCTAATATTACAATAATGGAGCATCATCATGTAATCAGAGCAAAATTTAGCCCCAAATTGATGGTTATTGTCCAAATGAAATCATGAAAAAGTAAGTGTTATATGGGAGTTGTTTTGTGTACTGTCACACATGTAAAGCTGTTGTGGACTGCTGGAAGAAAAGCTGCTGCAACGCAGTGCCAAATGGGGATCCCAAAAAAGTTACCTTTCAAGGACCCATAACAATTTTATTTCCTCTTGTCCCACTTGCCCACCGCTTTTCAAACATAGATTGAAACTATTCAAACATTATTTCAACTGTCTGGAAAACATGAAGGGAGAGAAGGAGCGCAGGGATAAAATGAAGCAACTTTCGTGATGTTAAACAAAACTTTGTCACACAGACGCATATTAGAGCTACTTTACGTCGACAGCTACAGAAAATACATTTGCCGTTATGTTACATTATGTGGAAGGTTATCCATGCAAGATTACTGTAACAATTTCATTACACACAACAAAATTCAATGACTTTACCAAAGCATTCAAGGATTTTTATTAATTCTATGACATTTCTGGGCCTAGAAAATGTGACTGAAATCTCATGACTATTTCAGTCTTTCCATGACCTTGGAAAACCTGCATATAAGGGTCCTGACACACCAATCCGGTCGGCCGTTGATCAATGTCAGGTCGCCGCCGAGTGTCTGTCACCATAGTTTTTGCGATGTGTCTGTTGGCACTAGCCGGTCCTTGTCAGCTGTTTTTCAGCCAATTCAGTGTGTTGGAATTAGCATCGGACACGACAGAGCCTGTCAGTGAATGAAATCACTCTAATCGACAGTTCATCTTAGTACACGAGACGGAAAACGAAAGTGATGAAAGCAAACAAACTTCATCCTTTGCTCTTTTAACATCAGGTTGTGTTGTTAATGTGCTAACTGGCTAACTAGCATCTTGAATCCGTCCTATCAGTCGTCTGGTTTCCCCTTTTTGAATGGCGAATACACACTACCACCACCCGCTGGTATGGTATCTCCTCTTGCAGGCGCAGAATGTACTATGAGTACAGTTGGTTGTAGTCTTTGCGATGTGTAAGATGATGAGACACATGCAATTTGAGATGACACAACAGTCGGCCTTTGTCACCACGAGTTCTTTGATGTCGCTTTGGTGTGTCTGGGCCTCTGGGCCTCCTTTTTAACAAAAGGCGTTTCCATGAAAAGGTAGCAGTATTTCACACATCTCCACCTTAAACCATCCAGCTAACTTCTTCAGACACAAGCAAGGCATGATGTGACTGAGAGCGCTGTCTGACCTTAAAAGAAGAACATAACAGACCAAAACTTGTCAAACAACCCCGGTCTTATCAAGCTCTGTAGGTTTATCAGCAGCTTTTCACAGTTCACTTATATGTAAGAATTATATGGACGCAGAGGTTAAACCTTTACCACACTTGCCGAACTTTGGACTGAATTAAACACTGCTTTGTTGACAGTGGGCTCATGCACAAACCACATACCCCAAGCATAGTGAAATTTGGCTCACAACTTTATTTGTGCACCCTCTGTTCAGTGTATTCTGTGATGAAACAGAAG